GTGTTGCCACGCTTCTATGTAGTGAAAATTTTTATTTTGTTACTTTCAAAGAGCATTTTTTTAAATATATACACACTACATATATACCATTCATTCCAGCGTATTTCCGAATAGGGTTACCACCTAAATTTTGGAGTAAGAAATTTACTTAATAGATATCGAATCCAAATTTGTTTCTTCCAAAAAATTTTTTTTAAGGTATCCAAATCTTGGAAAATTTAATAAGTACATTTGCCTCCGGGCAAAGCTCGGTCAACCTGGTACTACCTTTCTTTAAAGTGCTGTATCTTGGAAACCTTTTAACGAAACTTAATGAAAAAAATTTATTTATTGAGTCTTATTATGCAATTTTATTGTATATTTTAAGAGACTAGCAGCTAGAGAAGGTTTCAACACCTGATGTTACAACAATGAGTGTTGTTGATGTTGACATGAAATGCCTCTTTTCAATATGCAAAATCAAAGAAGTTTTTTAGTTTTTTCGTTACTTTTATTCAATAATCTGGGAATTATTATGTAAACTAACATTATTTTCTGGTAATGTAAAATTGTTGAATAATTCGAAAAACTCTTTTCCACATCCGTAGATGTGGTTAGACAAAATTTAAATACACTTTTGAATACGTATGTATATACAGTATCGGTCATATCTATAGCACGCCATTTCAAAGTGATATTGTGTGCCACTTATGTTTATTTATTTATTTTTAAGAATTTTCAATTAAAATATAGTTCTTTCTCTAACAAAACCCATATAAACCCAAGTTTAACAATTTGTAGAATACTACAAAAAAGTGCTACAAATTTTCATATAAATTTCAAACTTTTTTCTCGGAAGTGTTAGAATTTTCTGAATACACAGTTTTATAGCCCAATCAATTTTAGTCTGGTTACCGTTGATTTTTTAGAATTTTTTTCGCCAAAGGTGTTGCGGTTTTCTTCCATATACAAATAAGCTGAGTTTATTCACTATATGGAAGCCAATGCGACAAAAAAAATTCTAAAAAATTAACGGTAATTCGTAGCTACTTGAATTTTGCACATTATCAGACTAAAATTGCAGGGACTAAAAAACTGTGTACTCAAAAAAATTCTAACACTTCCGAGAAAAAAGTTTGAAATTTAGGTGAAATTTTGTTGCACTTTTTTGAAGTTTTCTACAAATTATTAAACTTGGGTATATATGGGGTTTGTCTGAGAATTGACTAAATTTTAATTGAAAATTCTTAAAAATAAATAAATAAAGATAAGTGGCACACAATATCAATTTGAAATGGCGTGCTATAGATATGACCGATACTGCATGTACTTGTGTTCAACATTTGGCATTGCGCTTTCACAGTTGTGACAATTTCCAAACTTTGGTTGACTTCCAAAACGTCAATTGCATTGCATAGTAGAAAGTTTAATGTTCCATAACGCCAAACTATAATTGTTTGACAATGTATACTTTTCCGAAACGCATCCGAAAAGTTATCGAAATGTATCGCTATATAAATCAGCGCATCAAAAACCATGTTGATGCTTTTTTTTGGTTTTATGTACCATTTGGGTTTTAAAAATGGAAACTACCAAAATGGTGATCATTGTTTTACTAAATATTCAAAATATGCAATGCATATGTTGCAATGTTTCGCAACTCTGCAAACCCGAACAGTTTAAATACCGCAGTAGTACAGTATCCAAACATTGTATTGGTACGTTTTGGAAGTCAGCCTTTCTTTCAATGTCAAAAGGTTTCTTTTGTTCGAGGCTTTGTTGCACCTACCATCAAACAACTTAAAATTGCCTTATTGAACGCCAAATCTTTTCGGATTTCTTCAAGATCTAGCAGTATGTATATATGTATGTATGTATGTTTCAAGGCGTATTCATACGAGGTGATAGCAGACGTATAAACCCATTCGCCTTATTTCACGCATTTGTACAATCCCTTTTTCCGCGAAAATGTATGAAATATTGCCAAATATGCAAAAATAAGCAGGCAAGTTGAAAATATGCAAAATTCCAACCAAATTTCCAGATATATGCAAAATAAGCTTTTTAAGCCTTGGCTTGGATTTGCCAGACTTGTCCATTATTATAAAACACCACACCACATTGTGTGAACACTGGGGTAAAGTAAGCGAGTGCGGTTTTTGTTATATTCAGTTAATCTAACTAATTTTTGTAAATTATAATTCCATAAGGTTTAAGTCTTGCCATAACCCGCATTCCCTGAGCTGTGGATAATTTTGTTCTAATTCCCTCGCGCGCTCTTCTTCTGTTAAGCAGATTTTTTTCTAACTTAGTTAATGAGACTTATTCTTAAGCTGGCGCGAAATGGTGTTTTTAATGATGATTCCTTTAATTTAAGCAGAAGGAACCCATTCATTGATTTATGGGAAAAATAAGAAGTTTTTGGCATCTTTAATTTAACTTTTAATTTTTAATTTCGAAAATGTCGGGTTTTCTACGAATTTGTTTAATATTCTTTTTTAACCAGTCACTTCCAACGCGAATAAAACAAATAAATTTAAAAACCAGTACCATGAAATGTAAATGGGATAATGGTAAATCTCTTGTCTAACGATCTGCATTGAAACCTTTTTATAATATTCCAACAATTGCTGTACAGGAATCTATAAGAAACATTACAAGTAGGAAGAAATAATCAAAGTTTTACCAAAAAAAAATCGGTAAAAAAAAATCGCGTTAAACAAATTAAATTGTGCAACAGAAATACATTCTAAAACTGGCAGATAAAATTATCTTTGAAACTCTTTTTTTTTTTAATAACCTACAGCTTGTTTCTGTGCACATCAAATAATTTATATGAAAATTTTAACATAATGGTACAATTAAATTATCTTGTTTTAAACTAATGCATATTTATAAAACTGTTAATATCCTTTGGAAAAAACATCAACTATCTATTATTGGTTTTCCATTTAGCTAGTTGAAGTTGAAATATTGCACATACAATTCTTTGTCAGAGGTATAGGAATAAACGAAAATATACTAAAATCTAATTTCGATTTCGCCACTCTATGGCCACGGGGTCCATTGGACCTTAGACAATAATAACCTACTGACGCTACACTGAAATTAATGAATTATAGTTTATTTCCAGTAAGCCTTAACTGCAGTTTACGTCAATTGGAAAAAGGAGATTACAAGAGGGTCATTTCTGACTTTAAGTACAAGCAATCGAAAGCAAAAAGTAAGAAATCAACTTTGCTGATCACTGAATGTTAAAGTTATTTGCACTTACCTGAGCTCTTAACTGTAGTTAAATTCTTGGTGGAAATGTGCTATTAGACTGTAGTAATAACAAGTGAAGTCACAAACTCGATTTTAAATAGTTTCTGTACAAAATATACAGCCGCAAAGTTGATCGGGGTCCACTGGACCGGCACCATTACGGGTTAAATTAATATTTCGTTAAAATGTATTTCTTCTTCAATTTAGTGAGTTAGTTTTTATAATATCTTCTACCTCGTGCTAGTAAAACTGCTACATATATATGAAAAATTATGGCGATACTGAACTGGATAACCCACGGAAACACGACTATTATTTTCACTAGTTACACCCGATTTACATGATCCAAGTACTTGAAAGTAATTCTTACCTATTTTCTTTTGTGTTTTCTATTTGCTTTTACACGCTTCAATTTTGTTGAATTCAAATTTTTGGTTCTTTAAATGGGAAACAACGAAAATGTCAAAAGGAAAGCAAGAAAGTTGAAACGACTTGACGGTACAGACGCATGTGTACTCGTCCCTTTTTTCTCACCCCCTCTCTTCCATATGCGAGCAGAATTGAATTAAATACTTGAAAAAGCAGTCTTATCTATTTCTAGCGAAATTATGTATTGTAAATCTTAATCTAATCGTTATCTAACAGCAATTACAAATAACAGCGATCTCCACAAGTTCCATTCTAACTGAATCCGATCGAGTTGGCGACATCAAGCCTTTCATCTTTCAAAAAAATAATTCAAAAGCGTTCTTCAGGCATTCCAGCCTTAACTGCCTAGCCATCTAGAAGCTGAAAGCTAAGGCTATGCTGTAAACTCCCAACAAAACTATTCTTTCCAGCTGAATTCATCGACATACAAGCATACAAATAAGCAATAAACTCACCTCCTCCAACCGCAGTAGCTGTGCTGTCCAAAATTGGCATAATCTGTATTTTATTCTCTACTGCACCACCTCCATTGTGATTTGGTAACATTTTTGTGCCATCAACTTGCGATATTTGTATATTACCAATTTGGCTAGGAACCTGCGGTGCACCTGACATCGTCGTAGTCAATGTAGGCGCAGTTGATGCTGACGGCAGTGTCGCCGCCGTAATGTGACTTGCGGCTGAAGCGCTCTGCAGCTGATTTTGAGCCGGTGGTGTTGTCGAAGTCCTACCCGCTATACCGGCGGTTGGCGTTGGCGTGGCTGGTGTAATTGTGGCTGTTAAAGAGGGCATCACCGAAACGCTGTTGGTGGTAGTTGTAGTTGTAGTAATTGAGGTTGGTGCCGCGCTGCTTGTTGTAATGGCAGGCGAACTTGAAGTAGTTACGTTATCCTGCTTTTTGCCATTGCGACGCACTGCTGGTTTACGTCGTGGTTTCACTGCTGCTGTTGTGGTTGTGGTTGTCGTTGTTGTGATTGCAGGTGTGGGAATGGATATTGTCGGATTACTGCTGGAGGTGGATATTTGCAGCGAGGCGCCACTAGTCGCTATATTAAAGAGCGGAGGCTGCAATTGTGGTTGTTGAACAGTGTGTAGTTGCGAATTATTCCCGGCTGACATACTGAAGCTCATTGTTGACGATACAGTCTTATTGTTGGATTGTTGTTGTTGCGCAGCGGCAGCTGCCGCCGCTGCTGCTGCAGCTTGCTGCGCTAGATGCTGTTGCGCTTGCTGTTGTATTTCCTCAGCAGTTGGCAAGCGCGGTATAGAGATCGTGTACGGTGCGGAAGCGGGGTCATTTTGGTCAATTTTGATATAGATATTGTGAGGCTCAGTCGTATCGTTGGCGCCGTTGCTGGACGTTGCCGCAGTGTTCAACGCTGCCGCCGCAGGTATTGTTACGGTGAAAGGCAATGAATCGGCGCCATTTTGACTCGGTATCGAGATCATTATATCGTTAGCGTTTGGTGGTGCCGGAGCAGTTGTAGAAGTAATTGATGGCGTTGGCGCTGACTGTAAGGGCTGTGGCGGCGGTTGTGGTGCTGCAGAAACTGTGTTAGGCGCGCTTTCATCATGCGTGGACATTGCATCCATGTAATCTTCATCGTCGTCATCATCCTCCATGATACCACAAAGCTTCATAACGTTGCCGAGATCAAGTTTTGGTCGCGCTTGATCCTGCTGTTGTTGAGATGAATTCGCTTGGCCCTGTCCGCTATTGCCATGGTTAGTGGTGAAAGTCAATTTCACATTTTGCGGCGAGGATTGTGAGAATTGGAGCTGTGGGATAACATTCGTGCTATTGCATATACCGGCGGGTGTATTGAATTTGTTGTTTACTGAATTAGAACCTGTTGACGATACAGCATTTGCGACATTTTTGGCTTGCGACGTAGGCGACGGTGAAGGCGCTGTTGTCGTTATTGCAGGTGACTGCACTGCAGGCGCGGCTGCTGCTGCTGCCGCCGCCGCCGCTGCTGCTGTGGTGCTGGCAGTGGGCTGTTTTTTCTTCCGCGGCTTTGCCTTCTTTTTTGGTTCATTTTGCGGCTGTAAGACCTGCTGCTGTAGTTGCTGTTGTTGTTGTTGCTGCTGCTGCTGCTGTTGAATTTGCATTGTGGAATTTGTAGGCCCATTGTTAGCAATGCTAGCGCTCATTAAGGGTGCTGCTTGGTGCCCATTTGTTAGTTGTTGATTCATTGTTACAGTGGCCCCGTTGGCACTCTGTAACAATGTAGGTGTAGGCTGACGCATTGGCTCCGATGCCTGTGACGTGTGTGTTAAGCTGGGCAGTGTTGTGTGTTGCGCATTATACATATCCATACCGGCATTGGAACTTGTGGACGGTGGTGGTGGAGTTTGGAAAGTCGCGCCCGCAGCTGCTGCCGCCGCCGCCAATTGTTGAATATTCGCGCCGCTCAACTGATTCAAGTTGATGAGTGAACCGCCGCCAGCTGCAGCATTGTTCAAACTTTGCTGGAACTGCGCCGGTAACTGTGACAATATTGTTGTGGTGGCAGGCGATGATCCATTAGGCATTTGAATTTGTGTAATGCTACCACCGTTTGCTGCTGCGGCTGCCAATTGTAGATTCTGTAATTGTGCGGCCATACTTGGCCCCAGCAAGTGGCTGGTGTTGATGGTCGCCGTTGTGGTGAACGGCTGGTGAGATCGTTGGGGATTTGTTGCCGAAAGTGCTGCATGTAAGCCAGTCAGCTGAGTTATGGCCTGATTTTGGGCATTCGTTTTAATCGTTTGTATATGATTTGCAGTCTGTTGTATGAGGTTGGCCTGTGAGGACACTATGAAGGTGGGAGTGGCGGCGGCCAATTGCATCGTTGCACCATTTGTACCCAGAATACGCAGCAACTGCTGTGGTTGTTGCTGTTGCAGCTGCGCTTGCGGTCGCGCATTTTGAATAACCAGGGAAGGTGTGGCCGTCAGCTGCGGTGTTGGCGGTCGTAGTATAAGCTGTACACCTTGCGGTGTATTTTGCTGTACCAGCACTGGCATTTGATTGAGCAACAATGGTTGTTGTGTAAGGCTGGCTGTGGCACCTGTTGGCAAAAGAATTTGCTGTTGCTGTGCGCCGCCACCTGAGGTGGGCGAAGCCGAAACACTGATCTGTGCCTGTTGCGGTTGCGGTGACTGCGAGATCTGTGGCATTTGAGCCATGTTGTTGGGATTGCTGTGCAAAGTGGCGGTCGTCGCATTGCCACCAACGACCTTACCCTTTTGCTGTTGGTGTTGCTGCGATTGTTGCTGTTGACTGGCATCGTTACAAGACTGTTGCTGTGGCTTTGGCAGTATTTGTTGCGGCGGTTTAGTTGACTTTGTTACCGTATTCGTTATTGTACTGTTAAAACTACTGTACGACGTTGGCGCCAGATGTGCTTGAACTGTTGCGGTGCTGCCTATCAATCGTTGCTGCAAAGAATGCTGCTGCCCAGCCGGCGCCGCAACAATTTGTCCCTGTGGCCCCTGGATGATTTGAAAGACCTGCTGCGTGTGCTGCGGTTGATTCCCTTGGTGCGGCGCACTGCCTGTAATCGTGAATTGTTGCTGCAACATTTGCATTGGTTGTGGTGTTGACGGTTTAATTGCGGCGGCGGTAATTGTATTGCTAGGACTCGGTATTGGACTGTCAGCTATCAGCGGACTATTGCTATGATAGTGTTGGAACTGTTGCTGTTGCTGATGACTCAACGACGTCGACGTCGGTAGAACTGATGCGGCGGCTTTTTTCGCTTGACCTTTTGGGCAACCAGCCACATTTGCTGACGCAAACGAACTCGACGTATTAATCGCTGCTGCATGTGGTTGCCCATAGCCGCCGGCTACAGTATTCGAGATCGAGGGCGCAGTGTGACAAGTTGGTGTTACAGCACTGCTGAATATTTGGTGATGCTGCTGAGTAAGTTGATTCTGTTGATGCTGCTGCTGAGTGTTGCGCTTATTGCCCTTCTGCAAGAAACAATATGTAAAACGATCACGATTAGTGTATTCTGGAAAATGTGTTGTGAGGATCATTTTAAATGATTTTTTATAGATAACAGAAATTAAGGTAAATGTGCATACATACAAATGTAATAAAATAGTGAAAATAGCAATTCAATTTACCACAGTTCACATGGATCTTACAATAAATAAATAAATATTTAAAGTCCCGCCGATATTACGTTTGCAAACATAAAAAAATTTCACAAATACCGGTTTCTTACAGTTTTGTCGTAAACGGTGTTTTCATAAAACGTAGTTTTTGGAATTCCTAAACAAGGTGAACAACGACTGGTTAAGCGCTTAACCAGAATTGAATCAGAAGTTGGTAAAAACAAAAACATTTTCACAACGTCCGCTTGGCGCTCATCTTTCGATTAAGCACTTTTCTTTTTTGAAAAAAGTATAAGTACACTTTTGGAAAAGAGTGAGTAAATGGTAAGTCTAGAAAGACGCAATGACCGGGAGATATCTTGATAAACTAATTAAAAGAAACTTCGCCGGAAAGTGTTATGACAAAAAAGGTTTTTATTTTTTTTAAAGTGGAATAACCCTCATATGAACATTGTAGGTAAATTTTAAAGTTTTGAAATATCACAGCTAAACGGCCGGACACGGAAACTTTATTTGGCGCTCCAGATTGCGTAACCGTTTTTATACAAGCCGTATCACGTCAACATTTTTAGACATTTAGTGGAGAAGCTTCGAGCTTTCGTCGTTTATAGCACTATAGGGACGATGAAAATACAATAAAAAAACCACGGCGACGTAAACTTTATTTTAGTTCGTGGAGTGGGGATCTGTATACCTGTCTCTAATACATATGTTACATGTTACATACAGTCAGTCAATAAAGTTTAAGTACAGGGAATTTTTTACAATACGGGCAATTTTATTTTTCTATATTTTTTTTTTTTTTATAAAAATACGGTTAATTTTACAACAAAAAACCCAAAAATCAGCTAGGACTTACCATCGATTTTTAGCAATTTTTTGTGTTGATTTTGTCGCTCATTTTCTCCATATAAAAGATTGTTTGATAGTTTTTTTATATGGGAAAAATGTGCGACACCTACAACAAAACATTTTCCCAAAAATAAATGATAAGTCCTAGATTCCTCATACTTGCCCTTTATTATACTAAAATTGAATGGGTTAAAAAATTGCATACTCAACTTTTTTCTAGAGAGCGTAAATAAAAAGTGCAATATTTGAATGAAATTTTGCAGAATTTTCTTTAATTTTGAACAAGGTTTGGAACTTTGGTTTTTGGGGGTTTTGTTGTAAAATTAACCATATTTTTTATTAAAAATTAGCGAAAAATAAAATATTTAAAAAATAGTAGCCCGTACCTTTAGTTATTGACTTACTGTATATAGTATGTCTGTACCTTTAGTGAAATATGCTTGACACAAAGTTAATATTTAAATTTTGACTGAAATTCCTGTGCAGTTCAAAACCAAAATGATGGCGAAAGTTAATTTATTAATAATTTTATATGTAGAAACTTTATTTCAGATACCCTTCAAGCTATTTGGATTCACTGATAGCATATTCATAGATTTATCAAAAAAAAATCTGACTACGAAGGATTCAGTAAAAGTCACTAAAAGCTAGCATTGTAAACAAAGCTAAGCTGTTGCATAGTTGTGTGTCAAAGAAGGGGGCAATTTTTTAAGAAAAAAAAAAACAGATTCTGGTGATTAAGCGTATACCAACGGGAGAGGGTGTTAGCTGAGTGGGCTTGAGCTGACATATGTAGAGGTGTGTGGTGCCGTGGGGGGAGCCTCCACATGCCGGACATTCATTGTGGATCTCAGGTTGTGGAAACAGGGCTATCAAAGGTAACCACAAAATTTTGGGGTTGTTCACCATCGGAATTGGTGTGCCATCGACATGAATGTCTAGTTCAAACCTGACCTCCTTTGTCCAGGTGGTGAAGACTATCACCGTTGATTTCGCTGGGAAGAAGGTTAGGCTCCTTGCTGTGAAGAAGCGTGAAAGTTTACTTTTGTGCAGAGCTCATCAATTCCATTCCCAGACACCGATATCGAACAGTCGTCAGCGTATGAGATTAGAGAAATTAAATTCCCTCCTGTGGCAGAGGGAACTTCGAGATATTGAAGTTAAACAGTAGGGGTAGAGGAAACCAGCCTTGGGAAACCCCTTGTTTAATACTTCTAGGTCTTGAGATTTGATCTTAGAAGATTACTGACGACTGCTAACCATTCAAATAATTCCTCGACCACCGTCCTAGTAGCGTGGAACGACAAACGGTGTCAAACGCCTTTGACAGATTCAACGCTATTAGGACTGTTCTCTGACAGAGGCGGTTGCGGTTAAGGCCACCAGTTATTCGAGTGTTTACGGGGTTAAGTGCTGTTGTTGTGCTTTGCATTGTGACACGGGTTATATATTTATATCTTAAATATTTCAAGCTCAACATCGCCTGGCCGTTATAAGTTAAAAATTATAATACTAGTGGCGGATGCTAATCAATCTGGTAAGAGCCATTGCCTTTTAACAAAATTTCGTTAAATATTTATTACTTGTAAATATTTTCTAAGCATTTTAAAGGTATTTGTTTCGTTACATGTTTTTACATAGATTATAGTTCTTATGAGAGGTTTGGAAATATTTCAGTGTACATCCCTGTAGTGTTTTACTCTAGACTAGAAAGTGAACGCACTTAGTTAAATTATGCCGTAAAAGCGGCAAGTTCACACAATTTCAGGAGTAAAGGACATTTTATCTTTGCAGTAGATAACACTCGATCAAAAAAAATTTCCGCCCCGTATGTAATTACATATATAATTCCCATGTAGAAAAATTGTTAGTACGACGTTTTGTAGCCCATTAAATTTTATAATAATAAAGTGCAAGTTTCAAGTTACTGAAAAATCGCGTTGATATTTGGCCATTTTTTTGTCGACAGTGTCACACAGTTTTTTTTTATTAAGGTACGCTCGACAATTTTTTATGTATGGAAGACGCTATTAGCACAAAAAAAAAAAACATTCCAAAAATCAACGCAATTTTTCAGTAACTTGAAACTTGCATTTTATTACACTACAATTTAATAGACTACAAACCAGGGTACTCACAATTTTGTTACGAAATCGGATTAGAAAATTGCAAATCTGTATGCGAATTTATTGAATTTTCCTGAGTGTTGCACAAAGTTTAGAAATAAACGACGGGTTTTTATTTGTTATCCTCTTCTCGATTAGATGTATCTTAGATCAGAAAATATATCTGCCCGCCTAAATCCGCTAAATCTATCGTTGCGGCGCAATTCAACAATGTTCAGTTTTTTGGATTGCAACTATAAATATTACGTGCCGACTCATAAAGACAGTTATCTCTTCGATCTGGCTCTGAAGTCCGTTGCTGTTTAGTTGTAGAAGTTTCGTATGCCTTAGAAGGTTGCTCGCGATGTGCGGAGTGAGAGAAGTGTGGAGTGTTGCGCTTACCACAGTGTTTGTTGCTTGCCAGTTGGTGGATGGCTACAATACTTGCGTTGTATGTCTGCGGCTGTGTTGCTCTGCAACAGGGGGCGCAATAATCTGCGGAAGTGGCACCACCATAAGTTATATTTGACTGATGCCACATTCCGGTATGCTCTGTTTTGATACACGGAGCAAACTTTGTGGGCAACCCAGAGCTTCTGGTTAGACTCAAACGCGAATTGAAGCGGGTGGTAAAGTGGTGGGGGACGGGTGCGTGCGGAGTTTGACTGTTGCTGTGGTGACCTAGTGGCCTTGGACGCGGGCGTTGTCGTATGGCTTGATCTACAGGGGACCACAAAGCTTGTGGTCCACTCCCTATGAGACCTAAGGCCTGAATAGTTCTAAGGGTGACTGCATACCGATGGCTGAGTGGAAGATCGACCTATATCGGCAGCCAGTTCGAAAACGCTCTATCTCAAAAAACTTTTCACAGAATGCCCTATTTCAGAATTCGTTTCAAAAACGCCCTATCTCAGACTGCCGATTCAAAAACGCCCTATATCAGCATATTTTCAATACATTTTGAAGTGAGATAGGGCGTTTTTGAACCGAATTTTGAGATAGGGTGTTTTTCAATTAAATTCTAAAATAGGGCGCTCTTGAAAGGTTTTTTGAGATAGAGCGTTTTCGAACTGGCTGCCGAGGTAGGTCGATCTTCCACTCAGCCATCGATACGCTACATGTATGTATTACATCTAACCGAAGTAGAGTTGCGGAGCTAACCGGCTGAAAGATATTGGTCAATGGACGACATCACTGATCTACAACTTCGTCAATCTATTTTCATGAGAACACTTATCGCTTAAGAGAATAAAATTATAGTTTAAAAAACTAAAACTTCGCTATTATAATATCCATTCGTACTGTCATCAGAGGGTCAGTTCCCGTTCTGCGTTATCGTAAAGTGAAAAGTATAAAATTAACACCGAAATAAATGCGGTGTAAATGTGTTATTTTTATCACTTCACGATAACGCAGAACGGGAATTGACCCTCAGGTATGTAACTTGAGAATAGAAGTCTCTGCACCTTTTAGGCCCATCAATATTACATAGTTACATCCCGAGCTAATAAAAGGGAGATAAAAATACAAGAAGTTGGTGAGGCCTTCTGATATTTAATTTGCTTATGTGAATAATTGTAAACTGTGTGTATTTATATTTGTGTCTAATTTGTCGGCACTATATTGCTATTTTACCTAAATGCAAAAGACCCATTTAAGCAATTTGATTTGGAGTAAATCTCTGAGATTAAAGGATATCCTAGTCATTAGATTAGCAGACACATTTGGTCCTTTTGTTTGTTTAGTATTAATTAATTTTTGATAAAAGTTTAGCATACTCTATGTGTAAATCCAATTTTAAAATTTTATACAAATTTAAAAAACATGTCAACGAACAGGGAATTTTGCATTTATAATGATAATATGCAATTAATTTTTGTATTTACAATTTGAACTTCGTTTACTAATACTTTTGGCTTACCTTATTTAATTGTATATTATTAGATCCAACAAGTGTTGTGTTGAATTCATTGCCGGCTGTAGGCGTTGTTGTTGCTATCGCCGCACCGCCAACACCGGCTGTCACACCGATAACACTGGTCGCTGCCGCTGGTGACTGCGATGGACTTGGCTGGAATACAACAGTACCGGCGTTGGGACTGCCATTAGTGAATTGATGTAACGATTGTCTTCGTCCCGGTGTGGTAGCTTTACGTTCCTTCAAGTAAAAAATTTATAAAAAATTAATAGCAGAACGCTTCTATTTTATGTAAAGCACTATGTTTGTATTTTAATGTTTTTTTTTTTGATACTCAAGGAATATCATTTGCAGTTATGTACCTGATCGTGTGTGGCGTTTGTGATTGTATTACCCGCTACGAGTAGAACATCCTGCGGAAATGGTGACAATGAAGGTGACGGTTGCAAACGCGGACTAGCTGATATTGATGGCGACGGACTGGGCGTTAAAAACGGACCCGGAGGAGACAATATTCCTGGAAAAAGGTACGGGAAAATTAAAGGTTATAAAGTTTGATTTAATCTACATAATAAAATTAAATGTATAAGACATTCTGCTTAAATATAATTTACGATCAAGATAATCGACATATTGTACATTTTTAAAATTACAATAAAAGCTTTATGTGAATGTTGTCATTTTTAGATATGCATAAAGTACCCACAATAATACTTTTTTGTCAAGATTGAAAGGAAGTATATTGCAGAAAATAGGAAAAAAACAGCTTTTCGAAAAAGATAAAAAAGTAAAGAGGGAAATTACTCTATATGGGATATGGCACTGGAAGATTTCATTTTCAACCCTGATCACACGAGATATTGCGCCACCGGAATTGCTCCTTGTGGTTTTTTCTCTATCCAGATAAAAGAAATGATTTAGAACTGTAGCACGGTTGGATCGAAACTTGAGGGCAGAGTCAATTGGGGACGTAAGCATAAGTAAATTCTGTTAGTCAAGCTGGGTTGCGCAGGGCATATCTGAAATTCTTCCCAATTGCGTCATCTTAGTTCCATACTACAGCGAAATCGCGAGAAACTGTATGGCAGACCACCTGGCAAGAAAAGGTATTCTTGAAACGATATCACCGGAGACCGGAACGACCCATATCTAGTATATCTGGCCATAAACTAAAACTATTTGGGGCATTTTAATGCTGTTGCAGCAACAACAAGCGAAATCTAACCGAACCTGTATTGTCCAGTCATTTGTATTAGAAACACTTTTTTTGTAATAAAATCTAATTACTAATTGATAAAACTTAATTTTCGCTTTATTAACAATTTTGCGTAGGTAAGGTAAGGCATTCTTGAAAATCGATATTTTTCGATCGGATTTTTTTATGGGTCCCCAAAAGCCTTATAAAATGCAATGGAGTACCCATAAAAATCGTTATGTCTCCTCAAGGGAAACCGAGTTTTTCGACCGAAAATATCGATTTTCAAGGATTATAAACCATTTTTACGAAATTTTTTCCATATAAAATACATACATATATACATAAGTGCATAAATACATGGAAAACTTTGAGCGCTTAAAGCGCTTTCGAAATAAAAAAAAGGATATATTTTTCGATATAGAACAAACCTTAGGGATGAGAGCATTAAAATTCGGACTTAGCTTTTTTCCACAGCAAAGTGGGGTCTCGGAAAATGCGAAAGCGTACGATTGCGTTAGAAAAGGATATACATACTTATTCTTAGACTTTGGGAGCCGTGAGCCCTTACAAGATCCACTTTAGAGACTAGCGATTATTATGGCCATCGTTTAATGAGCGGACCATAAAAGCTTCTAACGGGAATACGGGGCTATTGCCGAAGTGGGCTGTCAGGTTTGTAGACACGTAAAGCGATTACTGTAGAAGATGTATATACAAGGAAAAGATAGAAGAAGTACTGTTTGCGCGATTATCTTTTTCAAAATTCAATTCAACAAGAAATCAATTTCGAAATAAATTGTGTTAATGTTATAATACAAAGACAACAAAAAAAGGTATGTACATACATCTGAACATTTCGAGGGCAATATGTCAACTATTTCCATTTATAAACCAAAAACTCCTTTGTATAATGCGTAGTAATGAACTTCCACGAAAAATACTCAACTGAAACTGACAACCGTGAATAATCGACAGTAAATGCTATTCCCTTTGCGCTTGCCATTATCCTAAGCGACGGTTCTCCTCATTGTGTTGTGGTAAATCTTCAATCGAACGAAACCCAAAAAAAAAAGACCACAAAAAAACAAGTGTGTACATACAAACTTATTTGTAGGCATCTGCGCACAATAGCCAACAGCAGTTTATGTAAATAATCCAATTATGCAAAAAGGGAGAATCGAAGACACCACTGAAAAATATAGACATACTAAAGAAATTTCAAATGTAACTTGCAAACAAAAATAAAATATAAAGGATTAGTAAAAGAAAATAGAAAAATCTACCATATCTGGCAAAATAATACAAAAACTAACCATCCCTGCCTTTGCAATCGACTGAGAATACTATACTACGTCTTTATGTTTGTCTAAAAGTAGCAGTAGGAAGATTGGCATGCCAAGAACTGAGCTATAATGTGGCTCTAGTGGTATACATATGAAAATGCTTGTTCCATACACAGCTCCCCGCTTATAAAATATAAACGCATTGTTTTGCATCGACGCATTGTCACAAAAACGGCTCGCAACTTGCACGGCAGTGCGGGAAAAGCTGAATTGGTGCGATCAATAATGAAGAGGGCAGACTGCAAATGGTGCTGTAGTTGTTGGTGTCCACTTTCGGTGGTGGCATAAACTTACAGGCACTACATACTTATAGCTGTCAGTATGAACGTTGTTATTTCCATACGCCACCCCAAAACTTGCGCAACAATTTTATCATCCTTCACGCTTATGGCTCTCACAGCAGCCATCTATTCTTCCACAGCCGAACGGGCTGCGTAAACTTATAAAATTTGAAATATCAAAAGACGTAGCAGCCAGTCAGTCAGTCGCATGCAAAACATCATTTTAGCTTGTGTCGTTGATTTAGTTGATATACTCTGACGGCAACGAAGAAGCAAATATGCAGCATCATGTATCGAAAGTAAAATTCAGCAATATGCGAGTGGGTGTATACGTTTGCACCTACAAGCCGGTCTGCTTCATTTTGCTTTGCTCCTGCTTTTGAGTGCATTGTTTCCTTAGCCTTTTGCCCGTAAGGTTTAGCTAATAGGTTGCTCCACCAATGTCTCTAGCCCGGCATATTTACTACCTACTTCGATGCTATTCAATTTTGTAGGGTAGCAGCGTTTGTCACGTTGTTATAACAGCAGTGGAGTGGAATCCACTGCAACTACCAACAAAGCAGCCAACACCACCAACGCCGCCGCCACAGCCATCAGTGTCCTCGCCAGCAGCCACCGAGTGCTACCAACTAACTATGCATGATGGTTGTTATAGCATCAATAACAGCATCTGCGTCAGTATCAACATTTTGCTTGCGACGCTTGCATTGGCAGCCAAACAGACAGCCGGTTGAAGCAAGTCGGCAGTCAAGCTCTCTAACGCACCTATGTGTAGGTAGATATGTATGTACGTAAGGTTCACATTTTCTGATGTTTTCTCTTTGTGTTGCTGTGGAAGAATGGCAGGATGATAGGCCACTCGGATTGCGCTGGGATCATCGTCTTCACCGTCGTAGTTGTAACTTGTCGATTTGCACGAACTCTATTGGAGTTTTGGTGAGCGCGTTTTATGTATTTCTGCTGATGTTGTTGCTACTATATGCTTGGAGGCTGTGGCCGCCGTGCGAATGCGTTAAAAAGGATACAGCTAAAAGTGCCGTTTGTATCTTAGCCTCTGCGTAATAGGGTGGTCCTTAAATGTATGAAGCGCATTTTTACATCAGCTTTCCTAAACCTCAGCCTAGAGATAGGTGAGGGGTACCGCGACCCACGGCATTGATTTCAAAATGGCCGGGATGGGCGGTATTGGGAAGGTCTTTAAAAATGTTGCGGGCGAAACGGAACCAAAATCCTTTCCCGACATTCTCGATAAAACGCGCAACCGACGCAAATTCAGAAAACTTTCCTTAATTATTTGTATGAAATACGCACTTTTTTATGTTTTATTGAGACGAAATCGAACGGCAAAGCAAAAAAAAAATCGACGACAGATCTTTCATTCGGCCCTATTCTGAATATGGCCATCGTCCATAAAAGTGACGATACAGCCATGTTACTGATACGCTGACGATCGTCGACGATGAGGATATTCAGCATAGGGCCGATTATCTTTGTTATTACTGAAAAATTAATTTGAAAGATATGTGAATTTTTCTTACTGATAGATTTCGAAACCCACGGTACAACTTGGAAAAACGTCAGGATGAGGTACATCTCTACCTCAACTCCTACGTCGATGCTACTATAGTCGAAGATATCACATATAAATTTTTAGTACAGATCTGAGGCGGTTAAAGCATGTGGCAAACGGACATCTCCTCATCAGACTTATTTTTCTAGACTTTAGCAAGGATAGAGCCCGCATCATCAATGTGCAAAGTCAGAGGTGTTAACCACTGAACTTTGCACACACCACCCCTTAAACTCTTGTTGCTAATTTATTTCCCTTTTTCATTTAATACCCAAAATGGATAGTACACTAAGGAAAGAGTTTAGCTACGCCAACTAAATATGTGATTTGGTTAAAGTTACATCATTTGCTCAAAGTTACCAAATGATGTGTTGAGAGAAATATATTTGGATGGTTTTTTTCTGAGTGTACCCGATTGGAGTCGGTTAAGACGTGTCGCACAGGGGGCAAAGTTCAGATTCCTCTATAGAGACTCAAAAAGTTAAAACTATTTTTTTTTTCATCTAATATCCGAAATCGATACTATATACCATAGTCGAAGATATAACGTGTAAAATTTGGTCCCGATTTGAGATTGGAGTCGGTTAAGACGTGTCGCACAGAGGAAAAAGTTCAAATTCGTCTATAGAGACTCGAAAAATTTAAAATATTTTTTTCATTTAATACCCAAAATCGATACTACCATTGGCGAAGATATAACGTATAAATTTTGGTCACGATTGGAGTCGGTTAAGTAATTTTCATAGCGTAATTGGAACATTGACCCCTGTGCGACACGCCTTAACCGGCTCCAAACGGGACGAAAATTTATAAGTGATATCTTCGACAATAGTAGCATCGACGTAGGGGTTGCGGTCTAGGAAATCGGATGTAAAAATTTCCTTCCTACATTTAAGGACCACCCTAATCTACATACATTGCATGCATACATATATGCATATGTTTCTGCATATATCGAGCACAAGCAAGAGGATGAATTGTGGCAAAAATAATCATTGCAGAATAAAGGAAATCAACAAAAACAAAAATAAATAAATGAGAAATAAACGTTGAGTGCGCATAAAAACAATACACGAATATAAAGTAGCAGATGAAAGCAACACAAGTAACAATTTGAAGCAGAAAA